TTTTTACTATATCCCCTGTAAAAACCCGGGGGTTTTTTTTTTTTTTTTTTTTACCATGGGAAAACGCGGGGGGGTGGCGGGAAATAGAATAATAAATAAAAACAACAGGGGCCAGAAGGGGCCAAACAAAAAAAACCCGCCCCCCCTTACCCCGAGTCTGGGAGACCCTCCCCCCCCCCTCCCTATCTGAAGGTCTAGATCCTCTGCTGTATAAGGCGCAATTATTAAATTTTAGTCATTTTGAGAAAGAACATCTGGAACCAGGGGATTTTCCTCATTGACATTGCGTTCGATCACCTTGCCTGGCAAAGTCAGTTATACTTATGAATTTCAGCAAATATGAACAAACCAAACCAAAGTAACGTGAATTCCCTGAGAGGGAGTAGCACTTCCATATGAGAATGACGGTGTGCTCGCCGTCTCGTTTAGGACTAGAGGTTGCAGATTTTTGTCTCACTTGTGATGTTCAGAGTGGAAAGCCGTGAAGAATTGCTAAACGCAAATGACAAATGCCCTCACACTCGGTGTTGGAGTAAGGTCTTTCAGAGTATACATGATGTATGGGCAATTGTCACCAGTGCCAGATTTCATCCCTTTCTTTAAAGGCAGGGGACTGGTTTTCAGCCGATTACAACCACAAGGAGATCGAATGACTAAATCCAAGAGCCCATAACCTTTCAATATTAGAGTCGTCACTGTTGAACCCCTCCCCCCCGTCCCCCTCTCAGCTACACAACTGACTCATTTTCTATCCCGTACTCTCACCCCTAAATGATTTTAAAGGCCTCCCTGCCACGACCCTTGTAAGGTTCTGCAATACACGTACTTAGTTTAAAATGTTACCGGGACTTTCAGGAAACGAGCCCCTGCACAACTTAATCGCCAGAAATAACGTTCGTTTCCCCAAAGCTTTCTTTTACAAGAGTCGTTTGTGTTTGAGTTTGGGGACGCTTCCCGACCCCAGTGCTTACGCTTCTGGCTCCTTCCAGAGAGCTCTGAGGTTGCGATATTAAAGTTCGCGTTTGACCACTCCCTAGGCGTCATTATTCCGTACGGCCTATGCGTTTCGGATCAAATGGTTCGAGCATGCGCACTCCGAGATTGTCTAGACGTCTCCCGGCCGTTCCTCTCGGAAACGTCACCGAAATGCATTGACCGAGAAGCCCTGGGAAGACGTCGAACAGGCAAGATACACTACACGTAATAAGTTTTCATTCTGCGTCACGCGACCAGTGACAAATGGGAACGCGGTAGATCACATCGACAGGATTCAGTTACCTAAAGTGAGCAGCGGTTCAGTGAAAAATATGGCTTTGGTGGGCCTTTTCAATCTCGCGGGCTCACAAACCTTGTTCAGTTACGTTCATCAGCTTGCGTTTTTTCTTCGGATGGATTTGAGGCAACCTTTCCTTTTTTTGCTTTAAACGAAACACGTGACATCGAGTGATGTCCTAGATTCATGCTTTTGTTTCTTTCAGGGCGTAAGAAGCTGTAGTACGCCCTCAGGTTTTTTACGACCAGGTTAACGTCGGCGGGTCCCTGTTTTCGAAAAAGACGTTACTTGTTAATTTTTTTTCTAAAACTTAATATTGGCTAGAAATGAAATCTTAATCAGACCAAAGAGGCTTAAAAGAATCAGGATTTTTTTTAATGTTAGAAATGTCACTAACATTAGGCCAAATATATATATAGTCCGGGGGGGAACTCCCCGTATCAAATAGACGGTCTTGCTCGTCGGCAAAGACTCAGACCGTACTTAAACACAGTATGACGGTCAGTTTTTGTTGTGGTCTTGTTTGTGATATTTTTTGTTTGTTTTGTTTTGTTAACAAGTTTGTTTTTTAAATAGATACATCTTGACGCACACATGTATAAAGGGTATTGCCTTTCCGGCCAGTATTGAACACCTAAACGTCCTGAAGTGTCCACGCAAAAAAATGCAAATTTTGACCCTAGGCGAGTCAAGGCGAGACACTCACCCCCTGAATGTTATGTATAAGTCATATATGGGAGTCCCTCCGTACCCAACTGGCAAGGTTACTAAAAATATGTAAAAATAAAAGCGAAAACATTTATAGCACATGGTTTTGATCTATTTTAAAAATTTGATTGACACGCTGTTTCTTTCTTCGATAACTTCAGTGTCAAAGACTTTGATGAGTTCTGCAAAAACAGCACGTTTTTTTCTAATCTTTACTGATTAAAATCAGGATCTTGGCTAAGCAACATAGTAGGACGAAAAATGCTTAGAGAAGTTTATTTCATGACTAATTAAAATCTTTACCTTAAGAGGAGATTTTTTCCACGCTGGACACTATGCTTCTAATGACAAAGTCCGGTATGGAGAGGCCATCGCTCAATTAAAAGAAAAAGCTTTATGCTCGACATGGAGATGTTTACAGTCTCGTTTACATATCATTGCAAGTTTTCCTCTACAAGTCAGTTTCGCTGTGATAAATCCTCCCAGGTTACATAGTAGAAAAATAAAATCTGGTAATTTTTTCTCAGTCGGATACATGTCATGTCTGCAAAAGAGGCTCAAAGGCCCATCGTAACGGTCTTATTTCTTTTCATAGTACAGCAATTTTAATTCATTTTTACACTTGCCAAATACTGTTTTAACTATACTATGAGACTGAACGATCTGACAGGTAGACAGCTATTTAAATATTCCCGTCATAGCTACCCAATCAAAGATACAATGACAACTGTTTCAGTTTTGAAAGATCAATAAAGAGCATGCAAACTAAATATCGATTTCCGTGTTTAAGTGCACGGAAACAAATTTGAAATCCGCGCATTCGTTTATTGGGGACAGAGCGATGCAGTGGAGCTCAACGGGCAATTGCAAGGACGCTTAAATGATTTTGAAATTACTGGCTGAAGTCAGAGCTGATGATATGGAATGGGTTACTTGATTAGCTTCAACGGAAGATTTCGACCTCGTGTTAATTAAGCTTAAGCTATATGTATACAGTATATACTGTCCACGGTCATTTTGATCAAAAAAGTTGCGTCACAGAAATTCGAAAACTTGTCAGCCAAGATGTTAAAGGCAGCAAAGGAAGTATTTTCTCGTGTAGTCTTTTCCAAGAGGTGAGTATGAATACTGTTTTTAAAAGATTATATCTATAAGATTTCTGAAACTGTATGCTCGAATCAGCGTCCTAAAGAGCGCGGGATTTCTATTTCGATTCCGGCCGCAAAATAATTGTCTTTCCTTGAAATAAACACAAACCTCTAACATTATACCACAACGTATCTGTAAAAAATCACCGATATGGTCGCTCTCATATTCCTATTTCCTTCTTTAGATCCTCTAAGTTCTATGTATTCTCCCTCTTTACCGCACATTTTCAGTGATTTTTTTTCTTTTAAGGGTTAACACTGACCTTATACATGACCATACGTGTCAACGAGCGTTTTCTGTTATGCTACGAAACGTTAACGAGTCTTCGGCGAAGATGAATCGACTATCCGAACAATGACGTCAAGAGTTTATCACGCCTCCAACCAGCCCAGTCCTCTACGTGGAGATCATCACTTCACCAGCAATGTTCAACGTGCTAGCTATGGGGAAATACGTTATGTATTTTTTTGGCTTATTCGCCGTTATACCTCCTTTGATTCGATGAAAGAATATTATGTACAGCCTTATAAAGGGCTACATATCAAGGTCAATTTTCTGGAAATTTTTTATCCCCAATCATTCGTGCAAGTTGCCTTAATTTCGAGGAAGCTTTTTTTCATATGCGACCTGCTGTTTATATTTTTTATTTACCTTTTCCAACTTGCAGCTAACCAGTTCCCTTTTTTTTGTTTTAGTGCACACGAAGAAGAAGGACAAGAGTCGCAAGTTAGCGAGGAAGCAGTTGAAACTCGTCCGCTAAAGGACAGACGAACAAATTTCCGTTCGACCAGGAGCAAGTCTGAAAGCTCGG